AGTTTTGTACCTTATAATAGAGGCAGATTGCCTCAGATCGCTGTGGTTCTTATTATCAAAATTAAGTTTACTTGTATACTAAACAACCACAAGAAATTTGATTCTGTAAAGAATCCTCTTTAGCTGTGGCCTGGCAGTATATATATGGTGCTTTATTTAACAGAATACCTGTGGAGGAAATAAAGCACACTTGATGTAAAATTAATTGTTTTATTTTTATTGACATGATCAATTGCTATTCTGTGCACTTCATTAAACTGATTGTGATGACTTTTCATTTGTTTATAATATGTTGCTTCAGTCTTTGGATTTCTCATCAAAGACAAGTTCAAAAATGAAACACGTGCAGAGAGAAATGATCAAATGTATGTAATTTATGTAAATCTTGGTCCCTTTCTGGTTTACTTTGCATGAATGTTCCGTCGGGCACCTGAGCGGGATCGGTGGCCATTTACTTCTTCCCCGCTACGTTAGAACACGAAGTGGTGTCAGATGCCAGCGGAACTTTCCCTAACTTTAACCTGTGTTAGCCGTGTATTTTCCTCCACCATTTGCAGACTTGCGTCCCTTTCCCTTCTACCCGTGCTGCCCTGGGGCCTGCTCCACCTGGCCGCGCTCCCTTGACAACTTCTCCACCCCTGGAATGCTGGAATGACTTTGTCACCTTTCCCTGTCACACTTCCTCCCGTTATTTCTCAGCAGTATTCACTTCCTATGTGACCTTTGGGACTGTCAATGATGCTGATTTTAATAGCCAATTAAATGCCATTTTCAGCTTCATTTTCCAGTTGCTTAGCTCATTTCTTTTTCTATTGTCTTCATAACACATCTATCTTGGTCTTTTTTCTTCCTAATTCCTTCATTCTGTCTACCCTTTAATGTAGCTTAGCATCATTTGCTTCTCCATGATTCTGTGATGCTTCTGTGACTCCTCTTACTCTCTTTGAATCTACTCTCATTTTTTTAACCTTCTGTAATTAATCATTTCTGTCTTTAGCCTTTATATTCCCCTCATTAGCACTTTTATTCCTGCATTTACAGATGCTATATTGATGCTGCTGAGTGCTTAAGCTGGTCTCATTATTCAGACATGAAGTAATTATGTTTTCACTCTCTTTAGGAATAATTTTGTTACCCTTTCTGATCAACTTCTCCATAGATTGTAACTTCAGAGAAATCATCAAGAGCTTCTACTCAAACCTTCTACATAATGAATATCAGAATTCACCTGTCAAGTCTTCTACCAAGCCTACTGATGGTTGGGCTAAGATGTCTTTAGGAAGATATTCGCCTATCAAGAGATGAAGCAGCCATTATAACCCTTTGGTGAGTAGTCTCAATTAATTACTCTTATTAAAAATGTGCATCTGATTTTTGGTATGTTGTCTAACTTTACCTTTCAGCTACTGCATCTTGTTGGCTTTAGCTTCTCATACAGGATGAGATCACACTGTAATTCTGTTACTGAAGAGTGGGATTCTGTCTCTTGTGATGTTTTTTCCTCGTTATTTCGACCCCCCTTTTTGAAGTGTATACCAAGTATAAACAAACAGTATTTAATAATGATGTCATAAATGACACACAATTAATGCACCCTTCTTCCTCTTCTCTCTTCCCAGATGAACACTGGCCCTTCTGTGTTCAGCTGGTCACTGACTGTTCACTAGGTCTGCTAAGTTATTTTTAGGATGTTCTTCCCCTACAGACCAGTGTATGCGATTTGCAAATGCTGCCAGTGGTTAAGTTTGTATTTTATCATCAATTATTTTCTCACAAATGTGTACCTGGCCATTTAGAATCCCACTAGAAGTCCATTTATTTGACAACCATTTTCCATTAACAAAGACATTACAATTTCATGTTATGTTTCAGTGATGCAGTATGTTGGGTGTTGGCACCTTTACACGTTAAGACGCGCATCATACATGTAAGCTCTTAGGCCAGCAGTTCCCTTTGCAACTTCTTTGAAAAGCTAGATCAAATTTGACAAGGTATTAAAAAACAACGTTGATAAGCTTTAATGAAACGATTATCCTGTAGTTCTAAACTGACTGAATTTAATATTAGCTTTTCTATTATTTCGCTCAAAATCTGTGTCAAGATTACCAGAAGTATCATTATTCTTACTGCTCTTCCCTTACATTACCTTCCAGTTTCCCCCTTGAGTATTCCTGCAATTTTTACTGGGAATCTTTTCCCAGTAATCATTTTTTTAAACAAAAGTAAGCATTACCTGCATAAACTTGTCTCCTCTTCCATATCCTTGTTTGCACCCGTTTCTTTATCTTCCTGTGTCCCTCATTTTGCATGTTCTGTAAGTCAGGACTTCTTCCATAGTATTCTCCCCTCCTTTTACTCTGAATCCGTTTTCTAGTTTGAACTTCTTTGCCTTCAAGAATGCTTTTTTATCCCTGCCTGTGAAAACCCCAGCTTTAGCTGGCTTCCTCGGGCTCTTAAAGCTTTTATTCTCTTCCGTGGCTCATCCCACCTCTCATTTAATTGTTGTGTATTTCGTCCTGAAAGTCCCACCTCCCGTTTAACCCTTTCCAAGTTAAGCTTTTAAAATACTTTCTCCTTCTGCTCTCCTCACTGTGCATAGTCCCTAACAGCCAGCCTCCACCTCCCGGACTCAAACTGTTACGACCATCCTCTGTGCTGCTTCTGGGCTATGGTCTTGCCAATCCTGTCTTGCACATTTCATTATTTTTCCTTTTGGCTTTCTCAGAGACCAAGCTGTTGTACAGAATCTTGCGGCGTTATGAAAGCGCGACATCACAAGCAAAACGATCTTTTCCTGTTTCTGCTTTGTCTCTTCTTACTCTCTACATGTGTCTCCACTCCTGCTGTTTTCTCTGGCATATTGGAAAAATTTTAGGATACAGAACTCTTCAGAGAGACTTATTTAGAAAACAAACTACATCTATGATACTATCATTTCATATGATACTGTATGATTTACGTATGATACTGTATCATCATACTGTTACTGAATGGTACGTAATTCCTAACTCTGCTCCATCCAGCTCAAGGACTGAGGACAACAAGTTTAACATTCTTTTGGTTTTATTAAACTCTTGGAAAGTCTGTGAGGAATATGAGAAATTTTAGCACTCAAGAATAAATTGTTTTGCCTCTCTAAGATGGTGATTGTCCCCTTTATGCTATGGCTGCCTGACAGTCCTAGAAATTCTCCTGAACGCCGAGGAAGACCTGTCACCTTCAGTTCACTACCCTTTCCTTGAAGAGGAAACGGGGGGCTGGCTGGGGCTGTTCCTCCTCGCACAGCCCTGGGCCTGCCAGCAGCAGCTGCAGAGAGCTTTCTGGGGGTTCTGGCTGTCCCACACCTGGGAGCGAGTGGCACAGCACTGGAAACACAAGTCAGTCACGTCTTTTTTTAACTCTGATGACTGATGATTGGTCCAGTTGATTACTCCTGCTAGTGGAAGGAGACAAGAAAATTCAGACTAGCAAAACACAGAAGCAGTGGGCACTTGCGACCCCAAGATGGAAGGGGTTTTTAGTCAGGAGGGAAAACTGGTGAGGCATACTCCTCAGAAAGGGCTGTAGGATACTCTCTTTGAAGAAACTTGTAATTAGATGTAAGAAACAGCCTGCTCTCAGATACTCAATGTCACAAAATCTCTTGGATCGTCTACACACAAAACTGCTTAGCCTGATCTCAGTTTTAAACCTAGATTTTCTGGTTTTATTTAAAGGTTGCCCCTTCGTCAACCAATACTCTAGCTGAAAACCATTTTTGTATTCAAAATGTTAGGCTCTTTGTCCTTGAATATTTATCAAAAAAGGTAACTAAATTTTGAGCATTCAGAAAAAGAAAGATGCCAGAACATGATGCTTCTCAAGGGGCTGTTCTCCACCCTCTCTCCGGACACCTGAAACACAGCCAGTGCAACACTTGCTAACCAGTCTGTACGTCTGTCCTGTCGCTGTGAGGTGTTTGTTCTTGTTACTACAACAAACCTCAAAAGGGGATAACCGACTGCAAACTTTCCAGGGAAAATCTCGCCTGTAGAAAAGAGCAGCACATCTTTATCTTCTGTGTGATGTAAGTCTATGTGTGGTAAGGCTGCCATGTGTTGGCGTCCTGCAAAAATAAAATATATAGGACTTAACTTCTATATAAATTGATTTAGTTTGGCAGTATCAGTTAACGGAGAAAATAAACTGCATGTAAAATCACACATTTTATTGAGCCAGCCATGTTTTCCAGAGGTAGCTTGCCCTTTTTTGGTCAATTTGTTTCAAATTGCATACTTAATACACTTTTTATAAAGCATTTGAGAATTAAGTTGTCGTTGCTAACCTCAATGTAGTTTAATTAAGAGTAACAATTCTTTACTTTCAGTATCACAGCTGCTCTCCTGTCAAATTTCTCTAACAGACAGTTGCTTGCTTTGATTTGAGCTATAGAATTACAGAATGACTTTAGTGGAAGTTTTTACAGAACTGCAAAAGGAAGCGTTATTACTGCTTTTTAATTCCAAAATAAGTTTTACACTGAGGTCAAGTAAGGGAGTACAGTGCATGCAGACTTAACAGTGGTAACCGTCACGCCAACCCTTTTTTTTCCCTAAAACTGGCTACAGAGTTAGAAACAAATTCAGCCTGCAGTTAAAGCGATCTTAAGAAGTATTTAAAGAGGCTGTAAACTATATCCCCCGCACTTCTCGAAAGAGCTAATGTATCAGCAGTTACATAATCCCTTTCAGCTCACCTCTGATGGGCACCCCATCTCCTAGAGGATTTACTTTTGCCACTGGATACACTGAATATTAAAGAACTGCACATGCTTCCTACTGATTCATGTAGCTTACCTACCTGTGATGGTCACTGCAGCTGAATCGATATTACTCTCTGAAGTTAAGTTGCAGACAAGCAGAACAGAGATCAGTTTCCCCAAGTAAAGCTGTTTACATACACAGACGGGACTTACTCGCTGCCTCATTCACTAAAAATCCATAAATAATGCTTAAATTATATACAGTATCATAGAAGTGGGTCTTTATTCTTCCCACAAATAAATTACTTTTTTTAAAAAAACATGTTAACCAAGTATAAAAAGTAATGCCCTAACAAAACTACAGTGCTGTTGTCATTCCATATTGTCTTTGGATTGCTGCAGTAAAATACGTATTTCTTCAAAATACTGCTTCTTCCAACATTGTCTTGTACTATCTTCATTAGAGGCAGGAACTCCTTTGCACTCTAACTGCAGTTCCGTTTGAGCAGCCATACCCTTGAAATTCAAGGCAACCGTTGCATAATGTTCTGAAGGAAGAAAATACGACATTTCAATAAAGTGTTTTTTAAAGGATTACATTTGTTGTTGCTAATTTCCTATCTGCTTTTGCCTGTGTCTGAGCGAAGCCTGTTATCACCGATGACAACTGCTATGGACATCAGGCTCTTCTCCAAAGAACACAGGCTCAGTGAGCTTCCAGTTACCAAGGCTGCCAACTGTCACGTCTGTCCCTTCCCCCTGCACAGTGTAGCCTCTTTAGAGGTCCTCGGAAAGACTCACCATCAGGCCAGTTTCCACACCTCCACTTCAGGACAATCCTCTGGCCTGGGACCTGTGAGAAGATAAGAAGGTTCTCCCCATTAGCACTCATAATTCACTTTGCAACTACTCAATGCTAATTCTCCCCTGAAAAGTAAGGCGAGGAGCATTATCTTATGTATTAGTAGACATATGCATGTAAATGAGCCAAAGGCTGTTTTTTGTTGTTTGCATTTTTTAAAAATAAACTGTTTTCATCAAGCTCTCAACTTGCTACATTCCTCTGTTTTGTTTTCTCTATAGGAAAAGATCAGGCTGATTAGTTGCTAAATATAAAATTATGGTTTTATTGCAGACCTTGAAATGGATACAAGTAAGAGTCATCGTTTCACCTCTGAAATTTGTGAGCGTGACAGAATATGCCCATGATTTTGTGTTACGCAATCCAGCTTGCGTTAATGTACAAGTTAGGCAGTATTGCATAAAAACGATTTACAGCCTGCCATCAGCGCACATGAGAAGGGGAGGTACTACTTCAGCATATGCATTGTCAGCTGAAGTTTGGTTTAAATCAGGCTTACTGTTTTCAGTAAGCTGTTAGGTTTATATTTTAACTGTTTCATCTAAATAGTTCCTTATCTAGCTGCAAAGATTGATGAATATAACCGACTTTCCTCAGCTTCAATAATGGGATGTTACTGCTGAAGCCACTCTCCAGTGCAGCAGTTCTGCAGCATGTACGTTTCCAGACTCAGCCCTTTCTGGAATCAACAACAAATTTTGTTAGCGTGACCTGAGAACCCAATTTTCCAAGGCTCTGCTTTTTTAAGAGTTGTCCAATTGCCAGTGATACCTACTGCCCGTCATCTGGATGGACATCAAGATACCAAGTCTAAGCTTAGCAACTGTGAAAATGATTTTTCAGAGGTTTCAAAAATGGAGCTGAGCTCTAATGATCAATTTTCCTCTTCTGTTTGCAAAAGCATTCAACTGGGGAGAGTGTAACATTTGCCCTGAATAGAAGAGAGATCACTTCTCCAGTTACAAGTAGTGATGTGGATTTGGAAGATAAACCTTGAACCTGCTTTCCCACTCCTCCTAGTAAAAAAGGATGGTGCTGAGAGTTTTCTCCCCCAGACAGGTCATTAGGTGTAGTCAGTGCCTGCTCTTCTGACGGGGAAGAAAAATCACACAACAGAATTGCCATTTTTTGGCTTTGTAGTAGAGGAACTGAATATGCATTAGAGAGGCTGAAATGTCAGACACTTATGCTTTTTTTTTTAGCTCAGGAAAGACACTGACACCCCTAAGCCCTCCCCCCCCATTTTTAAAGTGCAAAGTAGGCGCTTTTTACCAATTCTGCATATTCACCGCTGACGCAACCATCAAACATCTGAAGTTTGCCTCCTTTCTCAGCTTCAATCACAGCAGGACATTTAGAAAACTTCTGTACCAACTAGCCAAAAGAAAAAGAATACAGCACGAGTCAGTCAACTACAATTCTGTACTGATACATAATGCACCACATTATGAGACAAGGGAGGTTTGCTGAAGAAATGAGCTAAGCTGCAATATACGTTAGAGTCTTTAAGCACTAGTCGGGCTTTTCATTTTATACAGCACTCCACGGAGAGCTGTGGTACTAGTGGGGGCCAATGAGGTCACAGAATGAGGATGTAAATGCCGAGAGGCCTGTGACGGTAAAGGCCAAGACCAGTAAAGACTCTCGGCACCCGCAAGGGGCGTGGACAAAGCATGCACATACACACAGATGTGACCGGCTGGTGCTACATTTTGAAATGAGGGAGACAGAGCAGCAGCTCTAGGAAGGCGCCAAAGAGCTGCTGAGAGCATTCTTGTTTCCCATTGGTAGTGCTGGGATTCTAATTTAAAGGTCTCCGATACAAGCCCAGGCTCTTTTTTTGTGAATGACACAAACCCAAAACTAGTAATTTTTATATTTTGTACCCTATAAGCAATAGTATCATTGCATCCAACAGTTAATCTAATTAACCTGTAAGCTGTGGCTAACAACAGTGCCGTTACTGAGCACTTACTTCAGGCTCCTGAATGACAAGTACTTACATAAAAAAGCTAAGCTTTGGCTAACTAGCAAAGGAGCAAACGATTGAGCTGCACACCAACGACAGAAAGATGCAGCTTGCCTTTGTTTAGTTGGCTTTTCTTCCTATTAAGGTAACAACTGGCCAAAAAAAGGGTCTAAGCCACCCCAATAAGCTCTCATTAAAAAGGTAAAAGTGGAATGATCCTACTGTCACCTTCTAGCGCTTTCTGACTGCTATCGCAAGGACCTGGCCACTTGCCAACGAGGTAAGCTACCTAGCCTTTGCCCCTCGGCAGAAGACCAAACTGCCGCAATCCTTTTGCGTTTTCACCACTGAAAATTCCTCAGTGGCTCAAAAAGCGAAGCTATTCAGCAAAACTTCAGGAGCAAATTATGACAATTACAAATACTCAGTGAAGTTACAAGACAAGGGTAGCTCATTAATCCTTCAGTTTCTGGACGATCACACCTCTCCCTTTAATGTACGTAAGGCATATTATCTGTACTTGACACTATGAATGTGACACATTTATTACTTACGCAACTCTTCAGATATAACAGCATCCGCGTTAAATTACATTGCCTGCTGAAGGTATCACTTACTTCCTTAGTTGTGAAGATGCTGTAAAGTTCGGCTGCTGGAGAGTTGAATATTTCTCTCATAAGTATCTTCACTGTTGGAATTTTTACACCAACTATATCCAAAGACTCTGGTGAAACAGAATCCTGTAAAGCAAACAGTATTCATGTGACTGACTGCAAGATCAAACACTTAAAAGCTCTTGAATGGCAGGATTGTTGTTACCTGTGCATTCTTAAACACACTGTGTTGTGAATATACGTTAATTAATTATACAACCTACTTCCCCATTTATTTAACAGTATTACTCATCAGTATTCACTAAATAAGTGACAAAATTACGAGTATGTGATTTGCTCCAAAAAACCCTGAAGCTAACTTTAGACTGGGGGAAGTGATCCGTGCAGGTGAATTCCAGCTTCACCTTGCTGAAGCGACTGCTGTTGCGGAACAAAGCATTAAGGGGTACGTAAGTATGTGCTGCTGTCCTCCTTCCCTGCCTGGCAGACCTGTGCCCAGGATCTGTGATGGGTTGTTTCTGTATTACAGGCCCTGATCACAGCGATGAGGAGGCAGTTCCACCCCAAAGGCTTTCACTTTTGCAGGTAATCACAGCAATAGGCAATTGTTACCATAGCAAAATCTACAGGGACTATGTTTATGGTAATATTAAATTCGTACAACATACTTGCACGGTGTTCCCACTTACTGTTCGCTCAGCAGCCAGCTCCTGACCAAGAGCAGCTTTTGTTGGCAGAATCATTCCCAAGGTAAACTCTGTAATAAAGAAAAGCACTTTTCAGTACAAAATTGAGCTGTACAACCACCATTTACACATGTAATGGAGATTGCGGCCAAAACTGTGGAGAATAGGAAAAACTGTAGAATGGGAGCACAGAATGGGACATACACCACCAAACCAGAGTTTCCCCCCCTTACCCATATGTTTTTATTAGCCTAACAGCAATTTCCCTTAAAAACACAGGCTTTTCCAAGTTACCTGACCCAAAATTAACAACATCTGCCCATTAAGGAATGCACCATCTCCCAAGAACAACTGAACATTACAGCAGAGAGATGACAAGCTGAGGGTAGGGCGCTGCTTTGCTAGCCAACCAGTCAGCCTGCAGGTCTTGCAGTGATCTCTGTGGTCAGTACGCGTAACACAATACAGCCTGCGTTGCTACAGAAACTTCTGGACACTGCCATGTTTGACAGCAACACAGATTTTGACTGGTAGGACTAACTTATTTCTTCTCAGCTGGTGTTAATTAAAAATAATAAAAAATACAAACCCAAGGACTTGTCAATATATCACCAATCTATTCCAGAAAGACAACTGCGTAAGAACATACCTAACATACTGGTTTAACTTACCTGTTTTAAGTGCTTTCAGGTACTCTCGCAGGGCCTCTCTGACTTTTGTGGTTCCTTCAGTTCTCATAAGGTCCTTCAAAACATCGCCTTCCCCTTTCTTTTTGCTAATGTTTATCTAGGAACAGAAAAATTACAAGATCTAAGAGGCATCGAAACACGAGCCTTTTGGGTTCTGGCAACAAAGGAAAGTATTTTGACTTTCGTTTACTATATTCAGAGGACAGCTGCAATTTCAAGTTCATTATCTTCTCAGTTTATCCTACCTTTGCTAAAAATAAGTCCTCTTGGGTTTTGACTTAAATAAATGTAGTATCTCATCTCCACAGTAGCTTAGTCAGGTTCATCGAGTATGAACAGAGTTGCCTACTACACAGCAGAGGTTGAGGAATCTGTGGAAGCCACAGTATCAACTGCTATACAACCAACAAGGAGATGCCTTCAGGTCTTAGGTTCGGGGCAGTGGGGTGCTGGGTTTTTTTAAGGCTACAACAAGCAAAGTTCTTCTCAAATTTGTAGTTAGTATATCGTCACAAGCAATAACTAGCAAAGAAAATTGTGCACATTCCTAGTAGGCAAGTTTGAGAACAGAGATAAGTCATTATTCCAAGTATAAAAAATGAAAACATGAAATAAACTATCCAAGTGTAATTATCCCACTTAATCGCAGGATAAATCAAAATATGATGCCTGTACGTTGATTAATGCTTTATTTAAGAATTCTGAACCTATATAGCCGTATCAGTATTTCACACCTACCTCTGTATCATCTACCTCATTTTCTTCTGACAGGTTAGGAATTTCAAGAGATCCCTTATGTTTCTCACCAGACTCTTTCACTGTACCTGTATTAACATAACGAATTCTTAAATGCATTATTAAAAACTATTTCCCCCATAGCAAGAGTTTTATCTTGGCAATTAGTTGTACAAAAGTGTTACTTGAAGCAAGTTGCCTAGAACCTAGTTTAAAGGAACTAAACAGTAACAAAATGTCTCAAACGTGTCACAGTACTTTCATAAACTATTCTCAGAACTGTATTTTCCTGCAGAGATGCATTAAGATATGTACATGCACACAGGTACATCTCACTAAGCACAGTTTGCACTACCATTCTGCCACTGCTCTCACCTTTAATTGTCAGCCGTCCTAATGCTCTCCGCTTACAACTTACGTCTGCCAACACAGAATGTGAATCTAAAAGGGGGTAGGTTTCCCTAAATTTGTCCGCCCTTTATTTAGAAGCTCCCTAGAATGCTAGCTATTCCTTCCTGAACATCTGAAAAGCTCCAAACATACAGGCATGTCACCATAAAATGTATGTATGTAAAACGGACAGGTATGCAATTAAAATTTTTTTAAAAATACGAAACTTCACTTGCAAATTTTTTAGAACAATTGTTCCCACTCTTAGTAGCTTTACCACAAACCGCCAGTAATCACTGTACATGTCAGAAAGACTTTGCAAGAACAGAAATCACGGTCCCTTTCCGCATCTTTCTGGGCAAAGGCCCGCCATCACTTACCTACACAGCTCTAGAGACACGTTCTGGGGTATGAACCCTGTACTGTACTTCCATACCTCAGACCTTGCTGTGAAAAGATTGAATTTAATGTCTGACGCTTTTTTTCTTTCCACCGAAGACTCTTCCCCCTTGCCTTGCAAAAGCATCGTTACATAAATTTATTCACTATCACGTTAAAATCTCTTTAGCAAGCAATAGCGGAAACATGCAGTTCTGCCCAAGCCCAGTTATCTTCATACTGTTACATCAGCTTCCTTGTCAAAACATACCCAACACAACAACAGGCTTTATCAGTCTATCAGCAATACTCTAAAATACAAACCACCCAGCGTTAAGCATGACTGCAGAAGAGGAATTACCATGAAGGTAGGCGTAGTATTTCTTTGGATTCTCTCACCTTCAAAGGAGCTAGCTAGATCCAGCTACTACTTAACATCACTCTCCTTTCATTATTTTTAATTGCTACCCTGGAACGACCACCATGCTATAGGGGGGCATACGCACAGATATAACCTAACGTGCTATCGCACACAAACGCTACGACATTTCTTAGCAAGAAAAGGAGCGAATGATGGTTAATAGCAAAGTGGAGTTCGGTGCAAAGATCCCGTCCTAGTCAGGAGCTAAGTCAATGAAGCATAGCGCAATATGCAAAGTCTGTTAGTCCAGAAGCAGACAACCACGTCCACACAGCGAAAAGCTAAATGAGAAGAGCTCTCCTGGGCTTCTCAAAGTCTCCCAGAGAATCTGTTAGCTCAAGTACGAAGCCATGTGAACTAGTTAATTATACCGCTAAAACACTTCCGGGCCCAACACAAATCACGTGCAGCCACCTCAATTTTCTTTTACTGCTTTCTTCCAGCTCCAGGTTAGCACAGGCAAAACCACACAACATGGTCTTTGCAGATGTAAAGCAAATCCTATTTTCAGCTACTCTCCCCAAAAAGGAAGTGCAAGCATGCAGGAAGAAGTTTTTAGGAGCAAAACACAAACCTGACTTCTATCCGTTCAGCTAATTTTATTAGCAATTTTCACAACTCCTAAGGATTCCCAAGTAACACAGGCCAGACCACAAATTTAACTTCATAAAGGTATTTTTTTCCCCCTTCAAAAAATTGCTTGTCCAAGGGATTAATGCAGATGGTGTCTGTGCTGGAACGCAAAGTCCCATCAGGTAACAGACAGAGCTGGTTGGTCAACATGGCACAGGCAGAGCGTTGGTACAGCTTTGCGTTTTCAGTATCACTGTAACGTAAACAAAACTATTACCTTTTATCAAACAAACAATCAAATTATTTGTTTGAATCCCACAGGACTCCAATAACAGCCCTAAGAATAAATTTTTTTTTGTTTCCTGCCAATCCAGTGTTTTAGAAGACTAATAATGAAAGCACAGATCTCAGAAAGGCCTCCCTATAAACCCATTATTGAAATACCTAAGTTTCAAAAGAACATACCCATTTTCATAAAGCTTCCATCACGAGGTAGAATAATCCATTGAAATCCTCATTACATCTTCAAACAAACAACAGAGAGAACAGCCATTTTGCTCCATTTTAGTGCCATTAAGTACTCTTAGTTCCTCACTTCCTTGTTGCTCTGTAATCTAAATTACTAAGGGCAATGTTTTTCCAATATCGGACTTTTCAAACCAGCTGCAGATTTCAGGAATTTATATCATCTTGTTTTCCTAGAAGACTTGTAGGAGGAAATACTCACAGCAATTAGTATTTTTTGCAGTTCAGTCTGAACGCTCATTTCTAATTCAGAGCTCTCAGAAAACACATGATGACTATCAAATTAAGAAAAAAAATCATCAGCCCCAACTCTTTCAGAATTTCACTGTGTAGTAGCAAACTCCTTTAAAACTAAGCTCTCAAAAACATTATCCTAATTTCAGTGTGACACTGAACTGAGCAAAGCACCTAATACAAATTAGAGTTGTCTATAGTTAAACATTGAAAAGCATAAAGACCTAGCAGAGGAAAAAGGATTTAGAAAGAATTTGTACAGAAATACAAACAAAATACTGCATCTGCCTACTTCTAAGCTTTATACACTGAAATAAAGCAAAAAAACCCCAACAAAAACCAGTGTTTAAAACGTAGATGATTTCAGCTTATCTAAAAAAGACCCAAAACATCAAAAAGCTGATTACAATTATTTAAACTGCACTGATATAAACTGCACGACAGAGCATAACGTTCGCCTTCCTCTCTGTTAACATTTAGATCACAATTTTAAGTATGTTCTTAGTTTATAACACACTTGTAACATTTAAAACACAGTTAGCTATCGATGCAAACAAAAATAAGTAAGTAACAGTACTTCCTTAAGTGCCCTGTTATTATGGGAGCAGACCTCCATTCCCAATCTGTTCAAATACAAGCACCGACCTCAGCATCAAAGCAAACGTTGAAGTCCCAGTCAGCCAAACCAGGAAAAACAGCATCATGAAGAACTGCGTTGGAAAAGGCACCATCAACAGAAGTGCAAAACGCAGACAGCCCACTGGTGCAGCCACAGCGCTACCTGAAACACCCATCCAGAGACTACAGTCCTGTTTTGGGGCACAGGAATTAAGAGGGGGAAATTAAGTACGGCCCTTAGTATTCCCACCTCCTGTAGCAACAGCTGAGGCCTGAGAAATAAGTACAGTATTTTGGGGAGGAACAATTTGTCACTTGGCATTACAATATCCATGTAGAACTGCCCATGCAAGCACTTTTTATCAGCTCTTCCTGCTTCTTACTCCAATGCAAGAAATGGTCCACAATTTGCCATCACGTTTTAGGCATCTAATAAATGGAAAGAATTCCTTGATGTTTCCAAAAGATATGTTATCAGGTTGGTCTGCAAATAAAGGGCTGCCATGGGACAAGCACAGCGTAGGGTGAACCTCCAGGAGTTGGGGTTGCGAGCAGATGCAGCACTACAAAAATGCATGGGCACAGCCTCCGTTATCCCAAATAATCCAGAATTATTTCTAGTCTCCTTATTCCCACTACACATTTTTTCCCCTCATTTAATTCATTATCCTCAATGTAAACTACACTAAATTTTTGGAAACATCTCCACTTTCACACTTCTTAGTTTCTCCTGTTTCCTGCTATCCACATGCGTTAAGCACACAGCTGTAATTCGTCCATACTAGGGAACTGAAACAATCCAAGCACGCTGTTGTAAGCAGCACGTACCTCACCACAATAGAAGTATTTACTTCTTGCAAAGCTAAATGAGTAATACTCTGCTGATGTGCTGTTAAAGCAATGCTAAGAAATGTGTGTGGTACAAAAAAAATTGGGTGAAGGGGGAAAAAGACAAGCTAGGCTTCCAAGATTTAAAAATAAGCATTTATGACAGTTCAGGCCCACGTGTCTCCTGCAATCTCCCTACGATTTTGATTCATTACAGTTCACGAAAATATTCCTGTTTTTCCAACCCAAACGAGACCGGTTACTTTCCAAACTGATTGCTCCCGATCCCGCAGAGCAAATGAGCAAGGCCAGCTTTGCAAAGACCACGATAAACCCGAAGGCAACCCCTATCAATGCACATCTTCCCATAAAAACTGGGGCCACGGGTGGAAGCATGCAGGGCTCCCAGTCACTGCGCTCCTTTCACCCAGGAAAGGCTAAGCAAGCCCGGGGAGTTTCTCCCACCGCAGGCTGTCTGGCTCCTCGCTACCAGCGGTGGCCTGAAGCAGCAGAAGCGCCGCTAGC